CAGGTGCTTGGTTCCAGGTACTTAGAGATTCACTTCCACACAGAAAGCACATAATCTTATCTTCAGGTAACACAGAGTACATGATTAAATAATACTACTTCAGCGATAGTATCTAGGTGTTACTTTATTGTATGTCTCGTACCATGTCTGTTGGTTGTTCTGTTCTTTTTACATCTCTTAGCAGGTGATGAAGCAGACTGAAGACGTTTTATCATTTTCTCCCTTTTTATCTCCTCTTCCTTTCATCTTTTCTACTTTTTTCCGTTTTTCCTTTTCTGTTCTACTTCCATTGCAGTTGACGTATAATGTGTAAAACTCCCAGCACAGTTATAATAAAGCTATTTATATGCATAAAACAAGCGGAACACTATGGCGATAGCCGTACTGCTCCACTTGTGAAAGTAAAATCTGTTGGGCTCTTTTTGCCATCAAGAAAATTATTCTTATTGCCACATTGCCAGACAGGACACTGTTAAAAAAAAAAATCTTAGCTTACTTTTCTTGTTTTTTTCTTTCAGAGAAAATTCAGCCCCCTCATTGGTTATGAATTAAAACAAATAGAATACATTTAAAATAGACTGAAATACTCAATACGTGTCACAAAAAACAACAAAGTTATGAAACCAATCAATGAATATATCTATAAATAAATAAATCTTGAAATAAGTCAATATGTTTAAAACTGAATAATCAATAAAAATTATATTTATATAGTATATATAGTATATTATTATTATTATTATTATTATTATTATTATTATTATTATTGAGTATTTTTCAGGATTTTTCAGGATTATTAAAAAAAGTTAAGTTATTTTTTTTTATTAATTTTATGGTAATTTTTATTTATTTTTTGTCATCATCAAGACTTTTTTGTCTTGATGATGAATGTTAATTTATGTTGTGCCTAACTAAAGGCTTTTTGTCCTTATAAGGTTGTTTAAACTTATTCCAAAACTCTTTTTCAAATAGTTTTTTAAAAAATCATTATTTATGCCTATGTGAACATTTGTTCTTTAATCAGGTCAACCTATAAACAAAAGTTCTGTTTTTCAACTTCATTCGTAGGTGAGGTGGTGTTCAAATGTCTTTAACTTCTCCAAAACTGGCCGTTCGGCTCCTTAAATTCATCACCTTCACTTCGCTCAGTTTTGCTCCAGTTTCGCTCCAGATCCGCCCTCTACATAGAGATAACATGGCAATCCTTGGCTCCAGCTGTGAAATCTGTGTTCGGGGTGAACGTAGCTTTAGAACTGTGAAGTCAATGCAGCATGTAGACCCAAACAGTTCTTTTCATTATCAATGTCCATTTATAGGCTGCTCTCGAACAAAGTGCATTTAATGTAAATATATCGTACTATGTCCTTTTGTACTTCACACTTCCTTATGATAAGACACTTAAGTGTTTCTAATCTTTTCTTTGTTTTAATTATGTGCATTCTGAGCTCAGTGTCTCAATGGGAACTTCATTATTGGACCTTAATAATAATAATTATAATTATTGAACTTTATTGATCTCACATTGGAGAAATGTACCTCTGCATTTAACTCATCCCCTTAGGGAGCAGTGGACTGCCATAGTGTGGCGCCTGGGGAGCAGTGTGGGGTCAAGGTCCTTTGCTCAGGGACCCAGAGTGGCAGTCTGTTTTTGCGACACCTGGATTGCATATTCAGTCAAACTAATAGAAGTCAAAATGGCCTGCCATACCCGTCTGCAGCCGTTCTTCTGCCAGATTCGCAATTTCAAGTGGCTTTATGGCCACGCTGACAAGATACTGTGTTTTGTGGATCGTGCGGGCTAACCACTGCACCATCGAATGACAATAAAGATTTCTGATTTGTGGGAGATGGACGTTCAAATCATGCATCTCCTCTGACTTGAATTATTTCCAGAAAACACATTTTCTAGCTGGCCACTGTCTTCCCCCGCCTCGCCTTTGCAGGCACCCCTGTCTAAGAGCTCTGGTCTCTCTATTTTTTCTTCTCTTTTCTCCTCTTGTTTCAGCTCCACCATTCTAATCCTTCTCTCATCCTATATGCACTGGTTTAATATCTTTAATTTGCCCCCATTAGAGAGTTCTGGATCTGTCAAACAACCATCCCAGTGAATGCTTATCCTCATGTAGCTGTGTAACTGTAGCCGTGGGAGAAATTAAGCTGTAATTAAGCTATTGATTATCCTGTGCTAACTGCATTAGCTGTTAGTGCAGACAAACCAATCAGCTTCTGTGAACTCTACTCACAGGTTCCACAAATTAAACTCTTCCTGTTTCGTTACTTTTACGAAAGCAGGGTTCATTTTTCTAACCCTGCTACGGAAATCCGCCGCAGTCCTAATCAGTCCAAATGGGTTCAGTCACCGTGTCTAATGAGCAGAACTTTTTCCAAAGCTGCGATGGAAAATCCAATCCTTTTCCGCTGTATTCTGCTTTGTCCTGCGGATCGGTCAGCAGACATCATTCACTATATTTACCTCCATCCTGTTCATCTAAAAACATTACATATCTGTGCACCTGATGCAGACTTAAGAGTGAAGTATTAAAAGCTGAGGTTCATGAAAAGAAAGGAGGCTTTTTTTTGCAAAAAAAAGAAAAATTATTACAAAATTATTCATGTGAAGACTGATGAGGCTTTAGTCTCATTCCTAACTTTAACTTTTTCTCTCCTTATGAAGAAAATCATATCTTAATGGCATAAACTTCCTCTACTTTTGTCTGCCTCAGGGGTTTTGCAACCTAATTAGCAGAGAAATTTAATCTTATTTTGCATTTTCAGGAAAACTACTGTTGCTTTAACTCAAACTAGGGAAACTTCCACCTTTTAGATATTGAAAGTTACTAGAAGCATCAGTATAAACAGGCGAATCCAAACCAAACAGGCTGTTTTGATATAGCACCAAAAACCATCCAGAAGGCCTGATTAAACATTTCAAAGGAAACCCAGGAGATTTCAGCTATCCCTCACAGTGAGCATGCATGCAGTGGCAATGGAGAGGTAAAACTCCCCTTTAACAAGCCTATGTATATGCAAACCACACCTTTCAGTAGTGGGTATAAAATAAAAATTAAAATTGAAATTCAAAATCATTACTCTTGATCTCATAATTATCGAAACACTTTCTATTTTCATTCTACTTCGCAGCTTTTTGACAAAGTATCACACAAAATCCTGAGGAAGACTTAAAGTTCAGTCCGTCAGGTTTCCTGTGTGTGTGTGTTTGAGTGTGAGTGGAGCATTTTTTCCAGAGAGCATCCTTGTGGAGAACCTGGGTAGTCTTCACAGGTTCACCCATGTGTGTTCAGCCGGGTGTTACTAGATTTTTTGGTTCGCAGTATTTTGTATTTTTTGCATCTTTTGCCTTGGACGTTTAATTAAAACTGCAAGATACCACTTCAGCTTCTGTCTCTGCATTTGGGTCCTCCAAAACCTCCATCCAACCTGAAACCGTCACATAAGCATGCATGGATAATCCTTTGAGATGCTGCACAAAGCAAACCCGTTTAGACATGAAAAGTCCCTGAGTGGCAATCTACTGGTTTGAAGAAGGCTTATGTGTTTGGTTGGAAAAGGCAACTGCCTATAGAGGCTCAGCTCGCCTACATTAACATGATAATTAGGCAATTTTATGTCGGCGCTCTGAATCACATGTATTGTTTGACCTAAATTTGACCTCTTTCAAAAAAAACATTTTTGTCAGGACTCCTGTCTGTGTTTTTGTGTTGTGTGTTTTCCCTCCACCACCAGGTGGCGCCTGGTTCTCGTTGGCCCTCTCTCACACCTACCGATGGTTGCCTCATTACCAGAGGACTCTTAAGCTGCTGACTGCCACTACCTCGACACCAGAGTGTTTGCCAGTTTTGGGTATTCTAGCCAAGCTGAGTTTTGCTGAGTCAAACTGAGTTCTTGTCAACCTGAGTTTTAACATTGTTTGTCTTTTCCCTCTCGGCAGGAAGTCATCCCACCCATCCATTTCAGACCTTCTCTCCCTGGAAAACTGAGCTGGGGTTCAAACAGGAGGTTTGGATCCACTTTCCCCAAGAGATTGTTTGAGCTTCACACCGAGAAAGGGATTCATCTCCATTACGACCCGTTCAAGTACTGCAGGAAATCTGAGTGGCAGTCATTTTCTCCATTCACCTACACACAACCGCATTCTGGGTAAATCCTGTTCCGCCCTCCACCGAATGAGACAAACACTGGAACTACAGCATACAGACTGGAGCCAAAGATTAAACAACTTCTCTGGAAACGTGAGTCAGCAACCAAATCCTCTTCTCCAAGTTCACAAATCTATTTTCCCACTGAGCCTGAACTAATCGCTGTGCCTTCCCCTTACTTTCCAGTTCCAGTTGAGCAGTGTTCAGAGCAACACTTCTCTCTGCATTATCTCTTCAATAAAACCTGTTAAACCTTTTCCCCTGGTCTCCCTGTTTGGTCTTCTGCATTTGGGTCTGAACTTTAGTAAAATCATGACAATTTTCAAATATGTTATTTAAATAAAACAGAGCATACCTTCCCAATCGCAACCATTATTATTTTGGTTATTGACTCTATATCCTGATTATAAAGTTCATTTTTAGTTTTAGGAAAACTTTATCAAACGTGATGTTTCATAAGGCTTTAACCATTTGAACACTAATCTCAGTTTTATTAGACTTAAACAGATTAGACGTTCAGAAATTTGATGCACAAGTTGCATGAGCCGGAGCCTCATGCATAGGCGACTTGCACCTTTGATACTAAAAGCTGGTGTTAGCGAGAGATTTTCAAGACCTTGCGCACAGAAAAAGTCCGGCGGATAAAGTGATGCGTAAACATTCTATGGAAGCCCCATTGGGCCACTTAAAGGGGAAAAAAATGGTAGATGGTGTGTAATAATTATGAGATTAAAAGTCATCATTTCAAGTTTCGAGTCAGAATTATGACCTCCTTTTATAATTATGATTATTTTGATGTATTGTAAACATTGTTTGAATTTCAGAAGTGAGGCAGACACTCACCACTCCTGCTGCGCGGGATCCTGGTCAAGACGCCATTGGCCCTGTCTCTGCTGGGTGAACCGACCGTGGCGTTTTCTACCGAAGTTGCCTCACTTCCCTGCTGCTTCAACAGGTCTGTCAGCGTCCTAGACAACCACAAAAAACATAAAAATATTTCACTCAAAAAAGAAAAACAAAATGAAAGGGTTGGATTAAAAACAAGTATGGAGATGTCACATAACTGATTAAACGTAAAAGTTTTAGACATTCAAGGATTATATTTTTACCTAATTGCCAATAATACATGCATGATGATACAATTATTCCTGATATATCCCTATACAGAAACAAAGACATATTGTGATTTTTATATTAATATAGCTCTGGAAAACTGCAGCGTCTGCTTCTTCTGAAGGCCAGATTCATGGGGCGATTACATCGTAGCTCAGCGCTGAGGCCTGTTTGGATTGGAAGACTCAGCAGGCATAACAGTCAAAATTTAATTTGGCAACATTATATGCCTATACAGAAAAGACTAAAAAGCATTGGATTATGATAAAGTGAGGTTATATACAGCAAACAGTCTTACCCATAGTGTTAAGAAAGGCGTTTTTGAGCCTAAATAGAATTACAGCATCATGTGCGATGAGCAGACATAGACAGATATGACGCCATCTGCTGGTAGTACCATGGAACAATCAGAAAGCTGATTAGTGGCCACTTGCTGAATTCAGATTACGATTACGTCATAGGGCGACACCAAGGTCTGTTCAGATTGGAAGACTTCTCGTTATGCGACCAACAAATGCGTCCTTCTTTTTTCCCAATTTGAAGGATGGGTCCGGTGTGTCCTACGTAGCCTTGGGTGGGTATCTGTTAGAAATATTTTATTTATACTCTTACTCCGTTTTTGTTTCATGGGTTGTGTACTAATGAACTATTATGATGTATAATGTGTGATTCATCGCTTATTAACTCTTGCTAAAGATCGTTCCAGATAAAGGTCATGCAACGAATGGGTTGTGAAAGGCTTGGATATCCTCTATCACATGTTTCTTAAACATGTGTTCTTGGAACGACTTTAATGGCAAAACAATCACATGCTTTGTTTGTGCCGAGGTTTAAAGAAAGATCATTTTGTTTCCGTTTCTCTTAGTACAACCTCAGCTTGTGTAATTAGGGACATCCCCTGACTTTAATAAATAGCGAGGAGAAAGCTGAAGACCGACAGAGTGGGTTAGAGATTTGTAAACTGTGCGGTCTCCTGTGCCTTTTTCTTTCCCTGTATGTTTGTATGATGTTTTAGGTGCTTAGACCTGACAGTATCCCATGATTCATTGCGAGTCCAAGCAAGCCAGCTGCTCCGTGTTCAGAGGAAAAAAGTAAATGGCACCGAACAGTGGTGAATATTGTATGTGCAGCCTAATGTAATACAAGTAAGTAAATTATTTTGTCTTGAATAAATGAAAAATAGTTATTTTAACTGGATAGTGAGTCAGATATGTGGCGGGTAATGTTTGGTTTATTGAAAGGTTTTATCTGTCCTTGTTGAAATGGGTTTGGCTGCCATTTTAGCACAGATTTCAATATCTCTGCAGTATGGAGACTAAAAATCTGATATAATAAATGTGACGGTACTGCTGCTGAAACGCCTCAAAAATTAGCATGCAGAACAGTAGTGAGAAGTTTGGCATCCATTCTTTCCCTGCTTTGTGAGTCAACTGACATGGTTGCTAGGACACAGAGCATATGGGTAGTGAAAGCTGGATAAGACTGGACCTATTTGAATCTATAGCCAAACACATCCGTCCTCCTTATTTTCACAGACATCTAAGGACCCCGTCCAGGTGGGCTTGGTTGTTCAGAGGACGCAGCCACTGAGATCAAACACAGCCTTAGTCATCAGTCTCCTCTCCTTTTTGTGTCATTTAATTTTTCTAGCACTGTTGTATTTCCTAGTTATTCATTGTTGCTTCCCTAGTGCCCCCTTCCGTCTGCTTTGTTTCCTACCAGCTCCTTCTCAGCACACCTGCTCCCAGTTAGCTCATTACTCCAGTTATTGTTCTATCAGGGTGGGTGTGTTCGGTTTCAGTGGCTGCATCCTCCAAGGACCCTGTCTACCTGGACTCGTTCCTTGGAGGTCCGTGAGAATAAGGAGGCCAGAAGAGTTTGGCTATGGATTCAAACAGGTTTAGCCTTCTTTGGCTTCCACCTCCTGTATGCTCTGTCGCCTAGCAACCTTTACAGTTGACACACAAAGCAGGAAAAGAATGGATGTAGAACTTCTGTATATATATTTTTAAGGAGGTTCAGCAGCATCATCGCAAATATCAGATTTATAGTGCCCGCACTGCAGAGATATGAGAATCTGAGCTTAAATGTCAGCCAAGCTCATTTACACAGAAACAGGTAAAACCTTTCAATAAACCAAACTTTAACTGCCATATATCTGACTCAATAACCATTTAAAACAATATTTTTTTTAATTAATTTCAAACGAAACTATTCACATACTTGTATTTTATTAAACTGCACTTCCAATATTCACCACTGTTCGGCGCCATTTACCTTTGTCCTCTGAGCACGGAGCAGCCGGCTTGCTTGGTCTCGCAATGAATCATGGGATACCCAAGGCTGTGAAGGATACGGCAGACCTGTCCTTTAAAAGGGGCAAAAAGAGAGACAAGTTTGTCAGCCGCATAACGAGCAATCTTCTAATCCGAACAGGACTCGGCACAGCGCTATGACGTAATCGGCCTATGAATCTGGCCTTTGGAGGATTTTTAGCTCTATTATTAGTTTGATGGTGAGATAAAATCATATCTTTCTTGAAATTATCATACAATTACATCACTTTATTTCCTTCTGGACCTTTAAACCATTCAACATTCCTATTTCCTAACACACTCGGCTCTCTTTGATCTGTTGAGTTTGTCCATGATTTTATGGGGCCAAACATCGAGTTTGACATCAGCCTTTCAACTTCCATAAGCAGCATTATTGAAGTGTTAAAGTTTGGAAGAAACATCATATCCTGGACTTTATTTCATTTTTTTTCTCCAAAAAGAAATATGTGTATTTTCTTCTTCCAGGATTCAAACTCAAAATCTTAGTCTTACAGGGCAAAAGGGCTAACAGCTGTACCACCATGCTATCCCTTCAAAAGAAGATCATTCAAAAAAAAAATGAGTTGATGTTTTTTTTTTTTTTTTTTTTTTATATATATATAAACATATATTAATAGTTTGGAACACACACACATACATAAAATGTTTTCCTGGCCAACAGCAATTTGTCATTTTCTCTTAAGGTCTGACCCAGGAGGTCCAATTTTAATAAATTGTTATGTCTTTGTTGAAAAACAGTGACATGAAATTAGAAAAAACAAAATGTTGCAGGTTCTTAGCTGGAGTTTGCAGTTGTCAAAAACTGATTTAAAGCAAAGTTGTTTATTTTCTTATCTTCGTATTCAAAATATTTGTGTGTCCCTCAGTGTAAATATACATTTCATTCAGCCATACATTACTGGAGGCCATTTTTTCTACATGACATCTGTGCAACATGGATACATTTAAACCCTCTGGCTCTTGATGTGTTCCAGATGCAAGAAATACTTCTAAAAAAATGTGGTTCACTTACATACTTACAATAATGTCTTGATATTTACATTCATCCCCATAAAGGTGGAGATGAATGTAGAGTCTGGTAAGTGTTGATGCATTTCTACATCTACACTTACTGCATTTAAAAGTCAGGTCAAAACCTGTCTTCATTTTGGCAAGAAGGAGGCACATTTGCAATGACAGACAGGAGGGGGAGCACAATTCATGGATGTGGTAGCATGAACAAAATTACTGGAGACTTCTCATCTACATTGATTGTGCAATTCTCCCAGTTAGGATTATAAGAGAGGTCTCCTTCCTCTGACCCATGATCTCCCTAAAAGATGCTGCATCACCACAACCAGAAAGATTTTTGCCCCTGAGGTCAGAGAACAAATATAGTCTGCAGAGAAAAGCAGCACATTTCCACCACAGCTTCATCCTTTACACCCATAGGTCCCAAACTTTTCTTGGTGGGCCCCCCTTTGATTTAAAAGAACATTTTTGGATCCCCATCTCTAATCAATGTAAAAGTTAAACATGAATTGCAATAAACCACGCTCCAAGGAAATAAACTAAAGTCCCCATTAAATCATAAAACTGTCTCTTTGAAGGAGCAATTATTTAACATTTAACTATTAACTGTGTGACAAAACTTAATATTACCATCAGTATATTTAAATATATATTTTTCAAATTACATATAATTCAGTTATTCGTGTGCAACCAGATATACATCCTGGTATTACATAAAAAATGAAATTATGGTAATAAAATTACTTATTTCAATCATTAACTCACTAAAGAATGCTAATACACATCTTTAAAAAAATGTTTTATGATTTTTCTGTGACAGTTTGAAGCTTTTTACATTTTCTCCGTTAAACTGCTTCTCTGATGTCATCCTGGGACATGCTCAGAGCAGTCCGGCTAAATGTAATTAAACCATGTTTATCTGCATTTTAGTTGTTTCCTTTCTTTAGATTACGTTTTATATACCATAATGTTAACACGAAAAGAAAAAATAAAACTCAAAAAGACTAGATTTATGTTTAAATCCAAAGCTGGAAAAAGTTAGCTCCTGGAAGGAGAATAGGATCCAATTTCCTGAACACATCGGGAACAGAGTGATAAAACAGAAAGGATTTTAAGGCATTTATTGTCTCAGGAAATACATTATTAACCTTTAACACATTATAGTTAAGTATATTTACTATTTTTAGGAAAGGAAAAACGTAATTTAGGTATTTTTTACAAAATAAAATCGAGGGTGACCCGGATGTATATCTGGTTGTGAAAATGAGCTGAAGTTATGGATGGTGCTTCAGGGACAGATTGGGTAGTGACATGCATCCTCCCAATGACCACCATTAACACATTTTATACAATGATTCTCATCCACCGAGCACTCACAGTGCTCAAACCATGATACACAGAAAACAGATTTGCAGACATCCTACAGTTAAGTGCCTTGCCCAAGGGCATACAGAAATTTCAATCCCATTTCAGATCTATCCATCCATCTTTTTTTGCTGACACGCTTA